GCAGCTCTGCGGGGTTGTTTGGGTCTGGAACAAACCTTGACATCGCCCGGTGCTCCTGGAAAGTCATCCCAGTCTTTGTCTTTGGCTTCTTTGTCACTGGCGGAATCTCAGGCGCATCCAGTTCTGTGTCCAAGTCTGCCTGAAGAGCTGCGTTCTGCAGGACAGGTGGATCCATGCCTGCGTCTGGAGGTGGTGCACTGACATCTGATGCCATCTTGGGTGGCCCCGAATCAGCTCCCAGATGGCATCCGTTGGACTCTGTATCCTTGGCCGTCGGACTTGTCTGCGTGGCCGATTCACCAGTTGCTACCTCTCGAGGTTTTGAAACTGGAAGTGATGGAGGGTACTGCTCCTCTGGCTCCACTAAGAACGCTGGAGAAGTTGGACTCGGCGGCGGAGAAGGCGGCACCAGCGTTGGCTCAGAGCAAATCTCTGTGGGCGATGTGTCCATTGCCCGATAGATGGTAACGGAGGAGGCTTACAGTCAGTTGAAAACTGTTTCAAAGTAGCACTTGGTTTGCTCATGGAAGTCTACTAAATGATTTGCTAAGCTGCTTTGAGACACGTCTTTGAGTTGCTGGCCTCCAAATACTGGTCAAGACATTCAGCTGTGGGTTTCTGTGGCGCTGTGCTAAATGACAATCAGTTTGGGAACCAGCACTTGGTCATTAACAGTCTCGCTTACACTTTCTGTAATTAGCACGTGAACCCAAAGCGGCGCAAAGTAATCAAGCGGCAACAACTCCAAGACTAAAACAAGTGCTCAGTTGCTACTGGGAAGGGGAGAGGACAATTCCCTCATTCCAGACTGTTCCAGTTCCAGACCATCCACTAAAACCTCTACTTTAAGAAGTCGACATCCATAAAGCAAGAAAAACAACTGTCTGAAATGGTGGCTGCCAGTAAACTGGCATACTGGCTGCCAGCTAGCTGGCAGCCATGCCACACTCTCAACTAACAATCTTTTGTCGGAAACCTAGGTGTCCATACTAAACCAAAAAAATCGATGGAAAAATACCTGGAACTTTTTGTGCCCCAGCCGAACAGATTTCAAAAGACAATGACTTATTAGTGGTTTCTAGGTATAGGTCTAGGCGATCGAGATTGTTCCTGGCCAAATGGATTTGTTTTCCTAGCCAAATGGATTCGGCTCGGCTGGTCAAATTGTGACGGGTTTAAATTTCCTGGCCAAATGGATTTGGCTGGTCAAATTGCGACGGGTTTTCCTGGCCAAATGGATTTGGCTGGTCAAATTGCGATGGGTTTTTAAAAAAACCCATCACATTTTTGGTGGCCAAATCCATTTGGCTGAGTGGTTTTGCTCAGAAAACCATCACAATCTGGAAGCTCGGCTGGCCCCAGAAAAGCGAATGTTTTTTTAAAAACCAATCACAATTCCATAGGTTTTGGAAAAACCAATCACTTTTTGAAGTTGGGGATGAGCTGGAAAGTTTGACGGGCTTTCGTTTTCCTTATTAATTAAATTGCGATGTTTTTTTTAAAAGCCCATCACATTTTGGGGCTGGGGCCCCGGTCTGAAACGTGACGGGTTTTCCCGGCCAAATCAATTTGGGTGGCAAAATTGTGACGGGTTTTCCCGGCCAAATCAATTTGGCTGGCAAAATTGTGACGGGTTTTCCCGTTCTCATTTCTTGCCAAGACTCCCAGCGGCGAACATGTCGTCCAGCTTTGTCATGTAGTCTGCCGAGATTAGGCAGGCCAGTTTCGGGTGGATCCACTGCCAGAGGCAGATAATCAGATAGCGTCGACAAGCTGCTCATGCACGTCCATCGGCCACTGCTGCTGCTTCTGGCGCGTTGCGAAGTCTCGAAGAACCACAGTGTGTTTGTGTGCGCACAGTGACAAAACAACAGAAACAGCACCACTGACAGAACTCGAGCCTTCGTTTTGTTGCTGAAGTCAGCCGTCACACTCCTGTTGAAAGCATCATGCACCCTTCGAAAGTACCAGTTGCACACACACTCAAAAACGTCAAGAATATCCTTCCAAACAGGCTTGTTGCGATATCTTGGCAGCTCATATCTGTCAGCACCGGGGATGAAATTGCCATTTGCCAAAATGTCGTAATGAAAGCCTGCGCTGGACAGACGTTGTGATTAACAAATACTTGGCATTGCGTTTTGTGAAGAAGTAGTATAATCTCCATCATCACGTTTTAAGCTGTTTTTCTCTCAAATCACGATGCTCCGGCTCTGGGCCGATGAAACCTGACTTGCAAATGGTGTGGCTGGGGCCTCTCTGGCCGCTCAGGCACATTTGCGCAAATCAAGCCAGGCGAATGCACACCACCAGAACTCAAGAACGGTAGGTCATTGACCTTGTACCTTGTGCGGACCCCTTGACCAGCCAGAGCCTTCAAGTAGGACACTGCTCGGCCAAAGTTGGGATACTTGGCAAAGGCATCAGCCAACTCAAGCAGGTCCTTTTTGCGGTCTGGGTCTAGTGAAGGCTCATGGCCTGAGTTCGAGACACTTTTGGACCAAAAGGACTTCACAGTGAGAGACTCATCACCTGGCATTACCAGCAGGGCTGGCTGGCAAGGCTCACTGTCTGCCATGTGATGTTTCACAATGGCAAATATGTCATTTGCATTCGTCTCATATCTTCTTGGCAGCCGTTCGGACAAAGGCATGCGTGCAGGTAAACCTCGGATTGTGAATTAGACGGACCGGCAATTTAAGATCAAACAGCACAATCTGCAATCTGTAACATTGTCATCAAGCGGCTCTCTCTCTCTTGCGAAAAGTAAAGGAGTCTGGCACGCGGTCCTCCTCCCCCTTCCGGGGTCGGAAGGCGTTGTCAAGTGACATGATGTGCGGAGCCAACTCCTTCCACTGCCGAACCTTGACCCACGATCAGCATGAACTGAGCTGAATAGTTAACAGCTGATTGATGTCATTCAATTCTTGCAAGGTTCAATGATGACAATTCACAATTTAAGGCGGCCACACGGTGCATCATCACAACATGAAAGAACTCACCCCTTTTCTCGAAAACAGGTCGGACACGAGCTTCAAGAAGCCTGCGTGTTTTACGAGCTCGTCAACTAGAATTCATCGCACAGTGGAAAGCGCCTTCTAAAATCTGCTGGGGTCTGTAATTCTGATCCAGCTGCTAGCAAGTGGGTGGTCAGCGTGCCGAAGACACCGTCTTGGCTTGCAAAGCAACAGTAACTCTACAACAAACTGCCAACCAGGCATTGTCAAAAACTAAAAGGGCAAGCGACCAATGTCTTCTGGGTATGTCCCACGGGTAAACATTGATGACTGGCTTCCCAGAAATAATTCGCACTTGTCAGAAATGCCAATAAAGTGCCTGTGAGTCCGTTTTTCAATTCCTTGACCATATTATCACTCTGTAACCACAACCTCAGCCCAATCAGGATTATAGATTAGCGCGCGTGTAAAACCATCTTGTGACATTTGATTGTTTGCTTAACCCAGAAACGATGAAGGGAAGCTCAAGCCGCGCTGTCTTGCTGCCTCCCAGCACAAAGATATCGTAATCAGAACAGCCTCCCAGGAGTAGCTGCTACCAGTCGAAACCCCCTCCTCTGCGAGGAAAACCACACAACCCCATCCGTGCGCCAACGTTGCGGACACGGACAGGTGTGTTCTTGTAATCCGCTCAAATACAGGAATCTTCGGGAGGCGGTTCTGCGTCCAGCGCGGCAACATCGGTTTGCTTTTGTCGAATCCGTCAAATATGACGGTCAATACATCTTGCTTGGCACGCGATGCATCCCTGGCACACCAGTATGCCTGCCGGCAGCGCCACGTCAACGTTAAATGTCCGAGCAATTCATCGGCAGCAGCAGCATGGGCTCTAAAATCCCTTGAGGACCTCATCTTTGCTTTGATACGGTCGCACGTACCACACGTTGAATGCTGAGAACGGTGACGAAATCGCAGGGCCTTTCTCCACTCTGCAGTAGCTGCGTAAAAGGTCGCGCGGCTCGAGGCCTCTGTTCCGTTGGCGTTGCGGCTAGCTGTGTAGAGCAAATATAATTGGTGCCAGTTTCCAGGCGGAAGTTCCCGCGCTGCTAACAGCTTTGGATTCAGCTTTGTGATCCTCGAAGTAGGGCCTTCCAATGCATCCAGAAGAAGGTCTGCAAGAAGCTTTGCCCTAGTGGCTTCATCATCCATATTCATATGGACTGCGCTCAAAAAGCCCTACTCAAAAAATATAGATAGACGTAAACTTTTAAGGCTGTAGATGTGTTTTTTAAGTTTTCGTTTAGAAGCGGGCCCCCAGCAGAATATGGTGATACAGCAAGGCAGCGCTAGATTGGCGCTAGGTTGGCGCTAGGTTTCTTAATAACAGGATAGCAAGCAGGAAAAATAAGACACCAGCAGAGAGCAGGAAACAGAAGAAGCAAGACAAGAAAGAAGAAAAGCCAAGAAGAAGAAGAATGCACAACAAGAAGAAGACAAGCAAGCAGGAAAAATTATAATCTGACAGGATAAAGAAATCGACGGAGATTTTTGCGCTAGGCTGGCGCTAGATCCGCGCTAGCACCGCGCTAGACGACGGTCCATTTCTTGACCATTTGCCCATCCAACATCCAAATCTTTTGAGTCAGCTCTTACGTCCTTCCTAATTATGTCGTTCTGAAGATTTCTGAGAACAAAAAGTGGAAACAACTGCAGGAGTCCAGCAGCAGCAACAGCATCTCAGCAGTCCGCGCTAGACACCTCTCACAGGTTTTGCAGTTCACACGCCTTCATGTTTAACATCACTGTGGTTTGAGTGTGGTTGAAGTTTAAAGGAGATTTAGAAGCGGGCCCCCATGGAATTGTGACGAGTGCACCATTTTGGGAAAAGACATTTTGGAAACCAACCATATTCATCTCTCGATTGAGTAGCCTCGCAAAATCAAAAAAGAGAGACAGTAACAGTCAAACACTTCCTGTGCACCAGCTAGCTGGCGCACAGGACAGGCTTGCCAGCTAGCTGGCAGCAAGAGGCAAGAGATTTGATTATCTCAAAGCAAGGCGCCCAGTGGGCATTGATTCCGAAATGGAATAGTACATCTTTTGCTGCATAAAGAGTTGGACTGACGTATTTTTTTGCCAAAGCTGCGCGTGGTCGGTGGCCTTCCCATGCAAATTCAAAGCAAGCTCAATGATGGGAGTCAACCAAGACGGAACAAGCCCTGCCTGGAAGAGTCCTTTCGTCTAGACCCTTGAATGTATCCCGGGTTCGCTTGAGGCGGCCGCGCCCGATGCCCATGAATGAAACACGCGGCGGCAAACACGGGTTTCCCCTATATACCATTGGACGCGACGTTGCAAATCACTCTTGCTGCTGCTGGCGCTGCCACTGTCATCCTCAGATTCCTCTTCACCAAGCCCCTCAAGCGCATTGCTTTGGAGCGACCAGAGTAAGGCATCCTGACCAGGCTTGGAAAGGCTCCAAAACAGCAGGCAGATCTGTAACAATGTCTTGAACGCCACATTCTTCCAACACCTTCAGCGAGACATCAGTCAACTTGCTTTTTGACTTGGACCATGAACGAAGCCGACTAGTCAAAGCATGTGTTCAAGTAAGCGCCGGACTGCCTTGAGCAATGGCATCCACAGTCTTTCTGAGAACTTAGAACTTTCTTGATCCTCCTTGAGGACTTCCCATTCTCTGCATATTTGCTCTCTTGCTTGCCATCGATATCACCCGAAGAGGCTTTCAAAGCAGACAGGTTCGCAAAAGTAAGGTTGGCAGTCTTGGTCCTATGGCACGCCCGCAAGGAAAACAAACAAAACACTCAACAAGACTCAGCGAAATCGAGTGAATAGTGCTGTTGCGAGCGAGGATCTTTGAAGAAGATGCCTCTGGAAGGGATGAGTCCGAATCTTGGCTTGACTCACCCTCGTCAGACGATTCTGATTCAGATGGGCTCCATCGTCGCAAACATGTGCGCTTGTCAGGTGGGCTGCGGGATCTCGACAAGGCGCGCCATGTGCCCATGATGTTGGTTGAATGCTAAGTAAAGTATGTTGAATAATAAGTAAACCGGTTTAGTATGCAAATCATTAACTTAAAGGTGGTTTTTATGAACAGTGTACTGTAATATAGCCATTATATAGCATGTAAAAGACTCACCAATTGAGCCTGAGTCGCAGGTAGAAGCAAAAACAAGCAAACCACACTTCATTGTAACCAGACGTGTGGCAGCCAGCTAGCTGGCTGTCACACAATGATTACACAAGTATGTGGGCGCAACACTACACAGACTGTAGAATGGCAGTTCTTTGCGGGTACTGGACCCGATGAGCCGTGACGATGCAAGTCGTAGTGCTCTGCCAGAATCCTGATAGTTTCCTCGGGAACTTTCAACATGTTGCCAATGATTTTTCTCTTGAGGGTGTCAACCCTCCACCTCTTGATCTTCACGTCTTTGTTGTAGTCGGCGATGCAAGTGTTCAATGCAATCAGTTGGGAGACTCTGGGGTTCTCTTTCATGGTTGCTTGTATTGCTTGGTTGAAGATGCCTACAAAGTCCAAGGCCGATGGCGCTTGCTTCTCAGCTGTCTCTTGCCCCAAGCCTCACATTCGTTGCCCTCTGCAATCACATCATAGTATTCAAGTGTATTTTGAGTGGCCTTGAAAAGACTAACAAGTGTGATTGCATTGAAGATTGAGTACAGGTCTGGACTCAAAATAACTCAAACATGGGAGGCGCACGAAACGGCGAATTAATCAGTCAGGCAGTCAAGCCGGGAGCCTGAAGGAGCCTGACATTGCAGCAACCTTTGAGCGACCTTGAGATGTAAAGCGACACATTGAACTGAGACCTGGACATGTTTACTTCTTTGCCTTCCTCGCCTTCATTGCAAGGCAACTGTATTGTATTGTTATTTTTTTGGTGTCGGCGCTTGCCTTGGCAGCTGCTTGGCAGAAGTTGGATAACTTGCGCATGTTCACCGCCTGTGCCACAGAACATGTATGGAAACACTGCCAGCAAACAATCTGTTCAAAACTTTGCTGCAAGCAACGTGGCTGCCAGCAAGCTTGCTGCAAGCACATTTTAGGAGCACGCTTTCTGCAAACAAGCTGGCTACCAGCAAGCTGGCTGCCAGCAAGCTTGCTAAAAGCAACATGTCTGAGGTGCGCCTTACCGACACAAATCAAGTTCGAGCCTTGAAGATGCAAGCTAAGGCAGCGCCTATGGCTCTGGTGTGCATGGCGTTGCCCGCCATCGCACCAAGAGCCTGAAAAGCATCGCGGCGAAAAACATGTCCTCAGAAGAAACTAGCGAGTACTTGAAGCAAGCCAGGGATTCCCGATCAGACACTGGCGACAAGTTGAACTCGTCAGCGGGAAACCCATCAATATAAACTTCCACGCCTGCCGACCCACCATCCGGCTCAAGAGGGCTGAAAAAAGTCAACCGCCCACCTTGCCTAGCAAAACACGATCTTTGTCCCGAATCCAATATTGGCCACCGGGCCTGAAGCAAAGTAGGCTTTGCAAGGTAATGTCTGACTATACTTTTCTGGGGACCTGACGTGATGCACATAAATGGATCTGATTGGGCGGTCAGCACGGGGATACGACTCAGGTTCTGTGATAAATCACATACAACCCAGGTAGGCTTGTGCACTGACAGGATGCTAGCCGCCTGCCAGAAACAAGGTTGCAGCAACAAGCAATGCACCAAGAGTACCCCACAAGCCTGCCAAGAACGAGGTGTGTTGAGGCGTTTCTTCCACTCAGAGATCTTGTTGGAAACGGCTTTTTTGTTCACCTGGCACACCCGAACAAGACTTGACACCCATTCAACCAGTTTTGCATAATAGATGCGCCTTATTCTTCTGCATGAACTTGGAGTGGATGTGCCTCCACTTTGGTTCCCCCTCGTTTGGCCTCTGCAATATGAGAAGGAAGGAACTTACTATCCAGTCACAATGCCAATTGAGCATTTTAACTGTCTAGGACCATTGTGGTCGTTCAGACTCTCCTTCTTCCCCTGGCTCTTTGCGTCCTGCTCCTGGGCGAGCTGATGGCATTCTAGTAACATTCTTGAAACATGTTCTGGCTGACCTTTGTCTTCTGCTCTTTGATCAACTGATGATCGTCTGGCAATAGAAACGTTTGCCTGCAAGATAAGGCAAAGTTCAACTTCGGCAAATGGGTTATCAACAAATTGAAGGAGACTGGGATTCTGACCATGGCTCATTTGTTGGGCTGGATCAAATCTTCCACAGTTCTTGAAATCGAAGAGTCCAAGTCTGCGCTCAAATAGTCTTTGTGGATCAGGAAGAAGTAGTACCGCTGTCTTGCCACATTCATCCCAAACTGGTTCCTCGGAAATTTGTTGCAATGTTTGCATGAGCGGCGGTCAAAATGTCCGCTGAGGTTCGGTGACAAAATTGTCCATGAAACCTTGTAGTCTGGCAGCTCTTTCTCAATGTGGGCCACAACATCTGGTAAGACTGGTTTGATGCCCAGGACGTTCTCCAGACAAGCGGCCTGAGAGACATGAGCGACGCCACAAAAATGGTTACACACGACAACACGACAAGTCAATCAAAGCCCACTCATTTTCATTTGAGTCAGGATTCCCACCAGACGGAGAACTTTGATGTTGGCGATGCATCCAAAAAACTGTTTGGCCTCAGCGTCCTCAAGCCAGGCAGTTTCATGCCGCAAGCGGCTGAAAGCCTTGCAGGGAAAACCTGCGACATACAATGCCACCTGGCAACAAAAAACTCAGCGTCTAAGTCACACACTGCACTGTGCACATTTGGAAAATCTGATTGCCTGTTGCGCGTACTTCGTGGGCTCTCGGCAGAAAAGGTCATGATGCAGCCTCGTTGGGCCACAATATCAAAAGCAAACCAAAAGTCAAGTTTCACTCTGCACTTTGTCATAACTTTTGTGATCGAGTCTCAGGCTCTGATTCCGGAAAGTTCTCTTTGATGAATGCTTGAGGAGCTGGTGCTATGTCACAGCTTGACCTCGATCGTTAAATACAAAAACCGCCAGACCCCCCACACAAAGCATCGTCCGTGATTGTTTCAATCCACGAGGATAAGAATGTGACACATGATCGATCATGTGCTTGGACCCCACTGCACCGAACAACATCTGCAAGGCCACAATGGGAGCTTCGACTCCTGAACCTCAAAGTAATCAGCATTAGCAAGTTTACGCGCTTAACGTGTCCAAGCTGGGCATTGCACAGTCGGTCAGCACCGTGAGCGGGGCTTGCAGAAGCTCTAAGCTTTCCTCCAGGCCTTAAAAAATGAAATCAACAGCTTCGAGAATTTCCTGGCAAAATGGGGCTTGGACGGATGGCATCGGCGAAGGTCCTGCCGAAGTCAAGCTTGTCCTTCACCCGCTGGGTCAACTCTGCAATGCTCACCCACCTGAATGTATTTTGTGAATCCTGAACTAACTTGAAGCGAACCATTCAATTGACGTTTTGACAATGGTGCCTCGCTGTGGCATCAGACGCCATGGATGGTGCGTCAGAATCCGTGGAGACAGATTCTACTAACACCACGTCGCCATCGTCATCGTACCGCCAAATTGGCATTGCTGCCAAGAGAAAATCTGAATAAAGTTCAATGACGCTAAAATGTGTTTATTGTAAGGCATGCCAACGTTATGTGGTTGTTTGCCTCAAATCTGATGCCACTGAAAAAACTAACTGAGCCACGGAGCCGGCAACAAACAAACGTGACTAGAAGGTACCAGTCCAAATCAAACACCCACTTGCTATTTGGAAGACACCCGGTTCAAGTTAGACGTCCCTATCTGCATATATATATATATATGTATTGCAGTATATACATTGAGTCGGTCCAATCACTATTCTCACTAGCCTTTACTAACCACCATCATCCACAGTTATTCCCGGCAATAGGATAGACCCAAAATAGTACCCAAAATATATTATATATGCCAACAGTAGCATTATAGATTATATATATACTATTGCTATAAATATACATGCTTAATCCTCATTGCTGCTGACAAACCCAGGTGGAGTTAATTGATGACCTTGATGGTGATGGACGTGTGGAGCTCCTGGTGACGGACTGGAGCAAGCACAATGAAGGCCCCTCTCTAACAAGGAAACTCCGCTACTTCCATCGGACAGCTGATGGCAGCTTTGTTGAGCAGAAGGAGAATCCCTTAGCACATGTCGGGCTCATCACTGCAGAGGGTGGGATCGAAAAACCCTATGTGATTGACTGGAATTCAGATGGCTGGCAAGACCTGATGGTCGTGACATATTCATATTTAGGTGACAGATTTAGTGCCTGTAGCTTTGGATATGGCCATTATCGGCACGTGATGGTGCCAGATCTAATGCACAATACCCACATGGGTTCCTATGCACATCTCAACTTGGCCAGTTGGTTAAAGGAACAACGCTTGAGTGTGATCGACTGGAACGGTGATAGCTTGTTGGATCTGGTGGTGAGCCCAGGTCTTCAAACTTCGCTTGCTTCTTCATGGCCGAAGTTATACGAGAATCATCCTTTTTCAGGGGCTACAGAAGTGGAGTTAGTCTTCGAAAATGTCACGGCCACCTTCATGAATCATCAAAGTTTTGGAGTTGACTACAGGTTTGCAGTTGAAGACTTCGACGGGAATGGTGAGCCAGATCTCCTCATTGTGTCCCAAACCGATGGAAAAGTGCACTATCATCGGAAGGTCTTGGGTAGTCTTCTTGGAGAAGAGAAGTCCCATCCATTCAGCGGCATCACAGTCAAACGACACAAGGATCCTTGGAATCACTTCTCCTACTACGCGGTGCAGCCTTTTATGGTGGATTTTGACCAGGACGGTGACATGGATTTGATTTTGGGTCCCCCAGATGGACGGTTTTTTTGAGCAGAAGAATGGCACGCTGCACGAGTGGCCACTGGAGCAGAGTCCAGTCAGAAATCTCCTAGCTGAACTGGATCATTATCAGGCTAATGGTGAATTTCAACACGACGAATACGTAAATGGTGGATATGTAAGGCGCGAGGAGGCTTATAAGAAAGTTGAATGGAGGTTCTTGGATTATGACCTTGACGGCGACCTGGACCTGATTCGCCTGGGCTATGTCAAAGAAGGACATTGGCAACAGAAACTGCAGGCGTGCGAACGTTTGGGAGCCTCAAAGCTGCGATGTGATGATGATTTTTGGTGCTTGGGGACAAACCTGAGTACTTTTGATCCGCTGGGATTTGGTCCTGTGACGTCCTTTGATCTAGGGGATCTCAGTGATGGTCTTCAGCTCATTGCCAGACACGAGTCGACCAAGGGGGCAGTGCTTTGGACGTCGGGCTTTTGTACTCCTGAAGATGCTTGCTACCAAATGGGCCTTTGCTTGCCCAAACATGTGAACTGCAGCTGCATCGCGGGTCATGAACTGGTCGATTGTTCTGGTTGTGAACCGAACTTTTACAGTGTGCAGCGGAATGTGGGGCAGATGCATGCCTGTGCAGCCTGTCCCGGTGCAGAAGGAAAGGTTTGCCACGGCCGGGGCTCCTGCTTCGATGATACTGCGGCAAGACATGCACCACGGCAAGAATCGTCCACAGCTGCTTTGACGGCATCAGGCAATGGCTCATGTGGTTGCTATGAGATCTACTTCTTGGGCAAGGAGCTGGTTTTGCAGATCAGGATGGATCAGGCGATTTTTTATTTTCCCTATGAAAAAATCTCTAACCAGGGGAATATGCTTTATAATAATATATTATATATATTATATTATAGTTTTTAATCAACGCTTCTCAAACCTACAAATCCACGAGGATGATGAAGGCCGCGGTACCTGTATGGATGGCCATTGCCCGGCAGGCAGCGAAGAAAAGGATGGAACATGTGAGTCATGTGAGGCTGGTTCTGCTTCTTTGGAAGGGGGCACCTGTAAGAAGTGCCAAGCCGGAAGCTTCTCTCTTGCGGGCAGTGGGAACTGCACGAGATGTTCTCCGGGGAGAGTTGCAGGCACACTTGGGGCTTCAGCATGTGAGGATTGCCCTGTTGGAAGATATGAATTCCAGCAGCAGTTCTGCAATGAGTGCCCGGCTGGCTTCTTTTCGTCTATAGGAAATTATGGCTCCTGTACGAAGTGCCCGGCTGGCTTTATTGCACCAAATCCTGGAAGTAGCACCTGCATCCCATGTCCAGGAGGCGGCTTTTCCGAGGAAGCCAGTGCAAAATGCATTCCCTGTGCTGCCGGCAGTGTTTCTGGTGCAACCAGTGAGGTTTGCAAGGAATGCGATGCTGGTTTTTTTGCCAAAGATTCCATCACTTGTGAGCCGTGCCCGGGTGGAACATATTCGGGAAATGCTAGCAACACATGCCTGAGCTGCGCTGAGGGTCACGTATCCAATCCAAAGAGCGCTGCCTGCAGACGCTGCAACGGCTTGATGCTACGAGCCTCTCCAGACGCCACGAAACAATTCTGCCACGTTGCAGGCATGGATGCCTTGTTTTGCTCAAGTTAATTTGTGAGTTTTGCATGTGGCATTCATCTCCTTTTGGGATCTCTTGGAGAATCTGTACAAATTTTATATACCGTATCCCGCATCCTGTGACTTTAGCAAATCCAAGGATGTGGTGTTGGCATTCATCTCTTGGAGTACTTCCGCGTGCTTTTGCTTCCTCTTCTTGATGGGCTGCTACAGTTCCATTCCAATTTCAGACGTGTCAGCACAGGGCCCCAAGCTGGTGCTCACCACAGCGGTTGCGCATTGGGTTTTGGAGAGGTCATGCCCAGAGGCGCACAGTTCGAAGATCAATTCGGTTCATCTAGGTCTACGCCGCGTAACTGAAGATACTTTTGGATCCTAAGTAGGGGCCGGACCCGAACCTATGGAGGGATTTGAGGTCTCAAACCGGGTTCTGAAGGACCGGGGGCAGTTCGGAGCCTTGGAGTTCCAAGGTTGGCATGGTGATTGAAGGGGTGCCCATGATCCACTCATTGAAAGACATAATTCCACCCCATGGGAAGAAGAAAAACTTGAAAAAGGTTGATAGTTTGATGAGGTTTGGCTATGTTTGGCGTGTTGTGCCAGCCATTTTGCCCATCAATCAGGTGACCTTTGGTGGAACTGGAGTGCCTGACCTGGAGAGAAGCTGCTTTCGGGTGAAGGCTTTGAATTCCCTGCAGTTGACGCTCGATGGCCAGGAGACGACCATGTCATTAGATACTTCGATGGGATTTATGCAACTAAAGCCACTACAGGGCTTCTTTGCAACTTTGCAGCGATAGTGGCTAGTTTTGGTCACCATTTTCTGGTGCAGATCGTTTTTCCCCGAACTGACCACATGGTCCGTCATCACCCCTGGCTAGGTGACAGGTGTTGTGCTGGCTGGTCTTGTGCGGTGTCCTCTCATTTGCTGGTGCATGCTTCAGTTGGCTGCGGCCTGTGCAGCTGCCATCCAGCTGAAGTGGCTCCTGACCCTGCTAGTGTGTAGTTTGGGCCTCTGCACTGGTGCGGTGGCATTCGCCTTACGGCGCAGGCATGGGGGGCACGGGCCAAGCATGGAAGAGTTTTGATTGATCATGCCCCCGGACATGCATTGTACATGATTGTACAATTATTACTGCAAGACCTGCTCATATGACGGGTTTTTATTGATTCGGAGTCTACCTGACCATAGTCCAACTGCAAACAAGAGATTGCCCCAATGTTTCGCTGATCTGTACCCGGTGCGGAGGCCACGGGTCATGTTTGGTCCACACGGCCGCTGGGTCCAAGGTCCCGCACTGCGTTGGCCCAGCGGCGTCGCCAGTTCCTGAAGGAGTGGCCTTTGGCGTTGCAACGCTGCGGTCGAGGGCCTGAACGGTCCATGTCAGCCGGGCAGCTTCAAGACTTCTTGCAGTCACCCGGCAAAGAGGTAGAGAGGTCCAGATCTGCGGTGAGGAAATAGGGTGTTTTCAGAGGCCAGCGCAAGCAATGCGATGTATTCATGAAGTGCATCCGATCGCACCATTGTTTATAGGCAGTGAAGTGGTGCTTGGCTCAAGCCTGGAGGATTGTCAGATATTGCAATTAGTGATTAGCACGTTTCTATTAAATCGCCAGGTTCTTTGAGACCTTCATCAAGGAGCGTTCCATGTACTATGTATGTTCCAACATCGTCAAGCCGCTCACGGAGCTGCACAAGATGTCTTTGGTTGAACTGGTTGGCCCTAGGCAGATGGAGTGGTTCGTGAGCCACTACTGGGGGATGTCCGTGCGGCATTTCGGTGAGGCCATCCGCAAACATGCCATATCAAGCTCTTCTGATTTTGATTGGCGAGAAGTTGGATATTGGATTTGCACCTGGGTTTGGGATGATGCGTTTTTCATCCGTGGGACTGGGAACGTTACTTGAGTTGAATAGTGCAAATGATTTGCATGTCGATGGCATTTCATTTCGTAGTGAAAACAATCACCAGGTACCTTCAGCAACAACCAATGGCATGTAGAAGAAGAGCTGGGTGATGGACACTGGCAATCTTCTTCATTTTATCTTGCTTTGAGAAGTCCGGAGTGCAAGGGTACAGCCATGATCATCGATGAGCTTGTGCTGCCTCTCCAACGCATTTGGTGCCCTGGTTTTGCTCAGTAGGTTATAGTTACAGTAGGTTGTTGTGTTTACTTGTCATCCCCTTTGATGAATCTTCTAAAGAAGAGTATGTTGTACTTTTGCCAGGTTCTTTAGCACGTTAAAGGTGCCTCTTTGAAGTCTACCACACCATACGCCTCTCTGGCAGCGGCAGCTTCCAGGGCTTGTTGCTGTGTACCTCCACGGGTGTCTTGCAAGAGGGGAAGGCAGGTGTGATTGACACGGAAAAAAACTTGAACTGTATACATGTACGTACCTAGAATTCATGTGATCCCTGTTTTGATACGACCAGAATGGAACAGACCATATTTAGGGTAGTTTGCTCTGGGGGGTGGTGGTCCAAGGTCACTCAGGGTCGGGTCGGTGCGTGGGTAGCATGGGACCTTTCCGGTTGCTGGTGGTGGCTTCCATCCTTTTTCAGGGTCCAGGAGCTAGCTGCTTCCGATTTCGGATGGATACCTGCAGAATCCCGAGTTCCTGGCCCCAAAAACCACACCTGGAGGATCCAGTTGCAGGTCAGCAACAAAAGACCTAAATCACTAGTAAGAGGATTGCTGGTGCCTTGAATACGTTTAAAAAAAAGTGTTTTTTTCTTTAATTGTTTTTCAAGCAAAAAGATTGGTATAACCCGTGAACATCTATTGGTGCCCTTCAAACGCATGTGGTTAACTGATGCTCCCACAGCTCTCCACAGCTCCGCTCGGCCCCGCAACCGGCGCGCCGGCGCGCGGCGAGGCAGGAACCGACGTGGCCGTCGCAGTGGCCCAGCGGGCCGCGGAGCTGGACACGCGCTCCGCGTCCGCAACGGCGGAGGAGGATCGGCAGATGATTCATCGACTCATCGAGCAGATGCCAGGTGACCCGAACAGTTTAGTGTTTGGTGTTGTTTTTTTGATGGGATCAAGCTTGTGCTGTGTATATGTGTGTGTGCATTTGTTAAACCAATCCTGAATAGGTGTTTGATCTTCAATGGCGCGTTGTTGTTGTTGTTGTTCCTTCAAAGGGTGCACATGCTTGTAATTGATGACGGAATTGGTTTTGATTGGATGATTGAACTTGTCTCAGAACGGTTTGATCAAGTGTTTTATCTTGTGATTGTAGATGGGTTGGCATCATTGTTGGGAGGAGGCTGCAATGCGTATGTTGGCGATCACTCCAGTCCGTAGAGACCTAACGTAGCTTGTTAGTGTCTATATAAGGCCATCAAAGCCTTGGCTGTTGTACCATTGTCCCAGCCTCTGCCAACAACGCCTCCAAACAGCGCCACACCCTGTGAGGCGGCTTTGAAACGATGAACACCTTTGTCCGCGAGACTATTTGCCGTGCCTTGGAGGCGTCTCACCAGCACTACGAACAGACCTTCCTAGGCTTGGTCAACGAGTTAAGCTCGGCCTCATCAGCAGCATCTTTACCGACACTTCTGGTGAGCCAGAGGAAGACGAGGGAGGAGCTGAGCAAAGGCTCAGATAGTCAGACGGTCAGCTAGCAAGTCGGGCCCTGAGAATTTCCAGGATGGGCTCATTTGTCTTCAAAAAGTTAGAGAGTGCATAGTGAAGGAATAGTTTTCAATTTACATGGTTTTGAGACAAAGCCAAAATTCAGAATTTGCCGGGGTCTGCAGCGCTCCCAACAGAGGACTTTAAACATACGCCATGGCCCATGGCAGAAAAGGCGGCGTGCGCAGTTCCACAGTTGCACGCCGTCATTGGAGTGCAAGATGCACGCGTTTGGCCAATTATCTACTGTAACTCCAGTTGCCGGAACGACATGAAAAGACAGGAAAAGAAAAATAAAACAAAGAACATGAAAAGAACAGACCTAAACAGACAGCAGAAAGAAAAGGATCACAACTACAAGACTTTCCTGAAGTGTCTTCGGCACCCGACCTGATCATCCCAGGCACCAAGGCGCTGGTCATCGCCGAGCTGCCGAAGAACGCCGTGCCCGGCGCGCTCAAGGCCAAGGCACCGCCTGTGCCTTCAAGGGGTGTCCCATAGAGGGCCCTGAGTAGTGTATTGGTGACCCCTTCCAAGGTGCTGGTATATTATATTATATAGTGTGTTATTTGTGTGTGTTTCGTTTTGGAGCTACTGATGAATGACACATCCGGAAATCATGTTCACACAACATGAATCATTACTAATGTTGTCGCGTTGTTATGATCAATTGTGTGTTTTTTCACCATGAACCCAACACCCCAGCCGAGCTCGCTTGGACCACGCGGTACGCCCGAGCTCGACAAACCCGTCCAGGCACACTTCCGGCGCGGCGTGGCCCGGCGAAGCCTGGGAAAGGGCGACGAAGCCAAGGAAGACCTCCAAGCGGCAGCTCGGTGTGGCGCCGCCGGTGCCGGGGTGGCGAAACACCTTCGCACGAGTGGGGTGTCCGAAATCTGAGAAGAAGCTAGAAAGGAGGAGCGTGGTAGGGATTTGGGGATGGTAAACTGTTGTCTTCGATATTCTTGAGCCAAAAAGCCCATGGTTTTGAGTGCTCGGCACCTAGTACACGTTCATTTTTCTTTCACGGCTGGACCAGATTGCCCAGAGAGGTCAAGGCATTCAGTGCGCGCAATCATCCACACACCAGGTGGGCCGGGCATGGACGTGTGGTTGGAATCCATCAAAGTCCTTGAAGCCCGCTCTATCTCAAGACAGTTTGCAAGATTGGACGAGGATGCTTCCTTTTCTTTTTGCAGGTGGTGGCTATCATGGTTTTGGCTGAGAGTAAGGAGGTAACCAACAGCCAACTCAACAGGTTGCCCAAGTTGCACTTCCCATGTAGAATTCAGATCAGGGCAGGTTGGGTTGCAAAACTCTCAGCATAGATCAGCAGCCATTGCGGATGAAGGTCCAACTTTCACCAACCAGTAGCCACATGAAGCTCATGTCCCATGCTTAAGTATGTGCTCCCTGGCTGTAGATACCCACGAAGTCCTCCCAAAATCGCACGTTTAAGCCGAAGAATTCCGGCCATTTGTCCTATAGGGCCTAATCGATTCTTCCTGGTTCAGCGGGCTCGAACCCATGCGCCGCGCCGTATCGTGGACCGGTGAAACGCGAAGATCGGCCAACGACGGTGAGCGGTGGTCATATCGGATGCCATATCGCAGCTTCCGCGACAGGGGTTCTTGTAACCTGAAGTCGCGACTTCAGGTGTTCATGCCTGAAAAAACTGCCAATGGTTTCATTTGGGGATGGGTCTTTTCACTTGGAGTCCTGGTCCATGTAGCGAGTTCGGCCGCAACCAGGTCAAGCCGTCGGTTTTTTCTTTGGGGCCATGACCCACAGCAGCTGCAGGGATCCCAAAACAGCTCATCCTCGGGGACTGACTATCTTCAACTGCCATCCCGGAGATGTTGAGACATCGTCTATCGTTCCTCACGTGCTCTTCCACTGCCATCCCGGAAGACCCCTGTCTCTCCTTCAGCTGCTTCGGACCATGTTTCGACCGAACCCGTCGAACAATGTCCCGCCGTGACGCCCGGCGTGTCGACGCCGTAGGTCTTGCGGCTTCAGCCGGAGCACGCAGAGGCGCCTCGGTGGGTGATTCTTCGCCGGTCGCGGTGAGTGAAGACATGAGAATGCGAGGTGAGTGAGATGGACATGTCGTATGCCCTCCCAAAAAGGCTAAGAGGGATAATTACTGGTAAATCCAAGGAATACAAAGTAGAGAATTGGCTCTTAAGATTGAACACCCACCGGTTTGGATTGTAAAACCTCTTCCAGACGGGGGGATCAATCAACGAATCAAGATATTTATGTTCATTATATATATATATATATACCTGCATGGGGCATTTGGGGGCTTCATTTGTATTGTTCTTGTTTTGTGTGTGTTGATTATCACTCAGATTGGTTGCTTATGCCACTGCCTTGATGCTATGGCCTGCGGGGGTTGTGGGTTCGATTCGTTTTGATCTCAAAAAAGGCCACTGACGCCTTCGCGGTTGTGTTTTGATTTGATCTCATCTTGCCATCACGCTGAGCCGCTGGGGGCATATAATATACCCGCGGGCCGTACGAGTCGAGGTCCACGGACCGTCGGTTTCTCGTCGCCCGGCGAGATCGAACCTTGGCGAAGGTCTTGGGAACCTTGGTGAAGGTCTTAGATGGTGTTTGCTTCTACCAGGACCTTCCAAGGGGTGTCCAATGGACTACCCCACACTACCTATAGGCTTCCATTGGGCACCCCTTAGAGGGTTCTGGTAGATTGCCTATTGTTAGATCCCCTGGCCTGAGGAACATGTTTTTTTTCTTCCAGGTTCCTTGATTGAGCAAATCCAAGAGCAAGTGTTCTCCTGCTTCCACCCTCAAAGAGGGCACCGTGGATCCATCTATGGAGAAGGTTTTCTGAACGAATCCTCACGCAGGTGTTGAAGGAGATGGCTTTGGTGAAGAGTCAGCTGGCCGTGAAGCACCAGCAGCAGAAAGCAGCCTGGGGTGGTTTCATGGCTGCAGGATGAGATGTTAAGTTGGTTCACGCATGTTCACCCAACATGGGAAACTTGGGAACAAATTTGCTGCCTCTTGAGGCTCCGAGGCACCATCACCCTAGGCCCTAATTAATGGATTCCAGTGGTGATCAAGGAGCTTGCAAGGCATTCGTTGAACGAAGAAACCCGGTTTCAGATAGAAATCAAGACTCCTCACACCTCCCGAGCAGCGGTTCATGACCGGGAAAATTGAATTGCCATTGACTAGATCTCAGATGTTTTGGCTATCCAATGTCCGCCCCAGGCTTCCTCCAGCGGCCCAAAGACATGCGACGTCAAGAGCTGCTCGAGGCTCGGAAGGAGCGGCTTCGCCGGGCGCAAGAACGGCAGCAAATGCAGGGCGTTCCTTGGCAGATGGAGAAGACCAGGGCCGGCCGCATACTCTAGGTGTTTATGGGTATCTTCTTATGGCGACACTTCGGTGAAAGGGGCGTACCAAACACCCAACAGGGGCCTCCTCTTGTTATGTGGGATTGGTTTGAGAGTGTGCGTTTTTTCGAGGTGTGAGGTGCTTCGTGTTTCTCGCGTGTTCTGTTGGCTCGCTCCATCTTGGGAGGACGGACATGGTCGTATCACACGGTTTACGCACTGGTCTATTGAGTTGACGTGTTGGTGTGTTCTTCAGGATGATTCCCGCATTGGCTGGCTTTGGGCTCAGAGACAGAGTCAACTCACATTAGCGATGGCCTATGTGAGGCTCAGTACTGTAGCTGAGCAAGGCCTGCTGCGTTTCACATAGGCCACATGCGTCATGCCAGCATGCCTGGAACAGTTGGAACAGCTCTGCAGCTCTGCAAGTATCTTCACATGGTTCTTCCCAGCAAAAGCAAAGTCAAGTCTTCAAACCACCAAGCAAGATTGGCAGTGGTTTTACCACAAAGCCCCATCCGCCAAGCCAACGCTGCGCGTTGGCCACACCTCCCGCCATGGCGGGGTATGGCTCTTCGGTGCCACCGGTGGAGGCCTTCCGCCGTCCACCGGAGGAAACGGTGCAATGCACCCATTTGGATGCGGCGATGGCCAAGGCGTTGGGGTGCGGACTTGAAGATCCACCAAAGACTAAGGGGCCATTTATATACTCTCCCTGGAACTCACATGGAAGTGGAGTTCACCATCTGTTGGTAGTGGATTTCATGGTCTTCCTTTCGGGGCCATTCTCCACTTCCATGTTGGTTCCAGGGAGTGTAGATGGCCATGTAAACAAAGGCCGCTAAGGGAGAGCCACAGCTCAACAACATGTTTGCTGCAGGCCTTCAGAGGCAGGATCAACAACTGTGGATTTCATATGATTTGATGTTTTGCACTATGCTATTTTGTTGGTGAATTTAGGATGCAGCCTAGTGCCAACATCCAAAGCCAGGCCTCTTGCGCTAAGTTGGGGTACTTTCATGTGCCCTGGCCTGGTCTTCTATGCTTCGGTGCCCCTGGCGCCCAGGGTTGAAGGAAGAGTTCTGGACTCTTCGCACTTCAGATGGCTAGGAAGAGTACCATCCGTGGTGAATGGCCGGTGCAGGTCAGCAGGTCTTCCATCAGAACTCATACTCATCTCATACCCATGGTTTTCCGAGGCTTTTCGTACGTGTAGACTGCAACATAGGCCTTTGGAGGCGGGAACTTCAACATGATTCTTCTGGCCCAGCACTCATGCAGAGGTCAACGACATGGACATGGAAAACGGATACAGTAAAACAATAGCTTCTTTATGTCAAAGCATTCTCAAGTAACATATGCCCTCCCGAAAATGAACCAACACAGAAACCTAAGGCTCCAACCACCTCCGTTGAGAAGATGGTTGGGGTGGGTGCCAGGGGGGTCTAAGAGTCTGACCACCGAACCTGAGGATATGGTTGGAGCCCTAGGGATCTTCAAGTTGCCGTGTGAGAGATCAACATGTGCAATCCCTTACGCATTTGTCAGACACACACTTCGAACTTGGGTTTTTCAGTTAACGCAATTGGCTCAATGGGAAGGAAGGCGATGGAACGGCAAGGTGGAAAGGTCAGCTGAAACTGTATTGTTTAACACAGGTTTCACGACAAGCGCAAATGGAAGCGGCGGTCAGCAGCTGCAGTGCAGTGGGAAACCTGTTTGTGGGGAAAGTATCATGTGGAACCACCATGAATCAAACCAAAAAATTGGACAGCGTGTTCAAAAGTTGAAGCAGGTACACCAGGTTGATCAGACCTGGCTTCCCAGATGCAAGGTAGCTTTGTTAGGCGCAGTCCCTTGCATCTGCTGCGCCCCCCTGCCTGTGTAGAATGGGAAGAGTGGTGGTGTAAGACCCTTTGTCCAGGGTGGGACACACACA